GTATGGCTTATCAAGTGTTTTTGCAGAAAATAGCAAAAAGGACAAACTGTTCTCAGAATGACTGTGAAAGTGGTGGGTGTCCGTGCAGCGACAAGAACGATTCCTGGTCGAATTTATTTTGAGTCGAAGAAGATCACGTGGATACGTGGAGATAACATTTGGATACCGCGCAGTCACGTGGCCCTCATGTGGATATCACGCAGCCAGCTTTGTGGATAATTATATCCACGTAAATATACTTGAGTAACATGTGATCACATGATCAATGAGATACCTCGACTGTTGTAATAGTTCCACTTTAATAGTTTTCCCAAATAAAAGAACTGATAAAAGTATAAATTTAAATAACCTCATCCCCTCCCCCTTGTTCATCCAAGACACCCCTCTCTGCTCCTTGTTGCTTCCGCGTTGTTCTCACCTACAGATAAAGGTCATTTTTTTACCTCAGTGCTTTTTGGGAGCACCGAAAAAGAAAGGAGGAAATACTCTTCATTATGTAAAAGATCTGGAGTTTTGCCTCAGATCTTGGTTTTTTTTTTTGGATTGAGTTAATTTAAAAAAAGATTAAAAAAAAATTGGCACTTACATCAAACATGCCTGCATTCTCCTGAGTGATTTCTCGTAAGATCCCGGTAAGATTTTGTTAGATTTTATAATTCCCGATATTTCTCTTTGGGAGGCGGCGGGTGGGGCGGGGGAAGGAGAAAGATTTTAAGGGACAAAACCATTGTTCCGTTACAGTTCAGTATGCTTCAGTGCATCCTACGTAATTTACTAGTTTGTTTTCTTGTCTTTTTGTTTCCGTACTTCATATAATCGATTGTTGGATGAACTTTCCTCGGATTCATCAGGTGAATTCCCGGTATATTGGTGCTATCTGTATTTCTGTTTCATTTTTTCACGAATATGATTGTTAAAACAAATTGTTGCCATTGTTGTGCTTTATACGCGTTTTTTGCAGCTATGCAGCGCAGAAAACGCATACTGACGAGGGGTTGTCTGTGTGTGCGTCTGTCACGCTTTTTCATCTCAAGATCTACAAAAGCTACAG